TCCAGAGTCCCAGGATTCCAGTCTGAAAGTGACCTGTTTTTGCCTTCTGCCATCTGGCCAGGCACCCGCACTGCTAACTCCAGCACTATGCATTCCAAAAGGAGAGGAGGTACTTCTGGGCTCAAACATGAAGCACAGATGTGCCTTCTTTCACAAAGCTTGGATCTGAGGTCTCCTCGGCCACAAGACAATGTGAATCAGCCTACTCCACCTTCTGATCTTGCTTAACTACAGTTCTCACGTGTCACTGAAGAGGCTAGAAACCATCGAAACAGCACTCCTGCTGTCTCACACAGTCTGACAAGCAAAACTGACGTGTGTGAGGCAGAGGCAGGTGGACCTCTGTGATATTGAGGTGAGTCTACATAGTAGGTTCCAGGCCAGCTGTGGACAGGGAAACCCTATCTCAAAATCACACAAAAAAGTGTGATGTCAGACATGAAGCCTGCGTAGAACACAGAAAAACCTTAAATAGTGGTGAGGACTTGGTGCTCAGTGGATACATGAGAGGGGCATGCTGTGTCATGCAGGGCTTTGAGCTGTACGTTTGTCCTCATCTGGATGGAAACTGGAGGAGGGCGGGAGATAAGGAAAACAAGCTTGAGATGGCTCCCAGAAACCTGTGTGAAATAACTACAATGGCAGTTGAGGTGCTCTTTTTTAGAGACAGGATCACGTTACCAGGTTGACCTCAAAATATGTGGCTGAGGATGACCTTGAGCTTAAAACATTGTGTGTGTGTGTGTGTGTGTGTGTGTGTGTGTGTGTGTAAGATGTAGGATGTGTGTCTATATGGAGGTCCAAGGACAACTTGCTGGAATAGACGCTCTTACCATGTCGGTGCCTCAGAATTCACTGCATTTGGAGATAAAGCCTTTACAATTCAGACGGACAGGTACAGCATTCCCAAAATCCCAATACTTGGCAGGAACATCAAGAACCAGGAGTTCAAGATCAAAGATGGTAACCTGAGGCCTTTACTACCCAGGTCAGTTCTGGCTGGTGTCCTTTGAGATTAGGGTGCAGGCAACACAGGCAGGCATGCATGCACATAAGCAAGGACACATGGAAAAAGACTGCAGTCTCCAAGTAAGAGAGGCCTCAGAAGAAACCAATCATGCCCACACCTTGACCTCTGCTCTCTGTGTGTAGTATGTAAACTGCCCAGAAGGCTGGGCTGACTAAGATAACAGCACACAGTGTACTAATACAGAAACCAGTCTCTAGACCGCCACGTGGGTGATGAGAGCATGACTCTTGTAGGATAATTATTATCTGCTCCTGAAAGACCAGTGATACAGCTGCTCCATTTCTGCATCTGATAAGTGTTATAATGAATTAATGATGGAGAAAGGGTAGAACTGCCCATAGACCAATTCTAAGTTTCCTGTGTACTGCCACCACAGCTCTATACCTCTGGGTTGCTAAAACTGAAGACTCCAGCCCTGGCATGGTGCAGACTAGCCAGCTCAGGTACACTTAGTGGTTGGTTAAGCAGCAGATATGATCGCAATGATGAATTTTGTGCTTCCTAAGGTGAAGAGCCAAATTTAGATTAAGAGATGGCTCCATGGTTAAGAGTGCTTGCTGCTCTTCCAGGCCCCATAATGAGAAGCTCACAGCTGCCTGTAATTCTAGCTCCAGGGGATTGGATGCCTTCTTTTGATTTCTGTGGGCACCCCCTGACAAATACCACCCCCAACAAACACATAATTAAATCTTTTTTAAAAAAATTAGATTAAGGGGCTGAAGAGATGGCTCAGTGGTTAAGTGCACTGGCTGCTCTTGTAGAGGACACGGGTTCAATTCCAAGCACCCACATGGTGGCTAACAACCATCCATAATTCCAGTTCCAGGGGACCTGACACTCTCTTCTGACCACCATGGGCAATGCACAACACAGGTGCACTTACATACATATAGGCAATATGCAAATACACACACACAAAAATCAAATATTTAAAAACTTAATTAGAGGTCCCTGGGCTGGCAAGATGGCTCAGCAAGTAAAGGTGCTTGCTGCCAAGCCTGATGACCCGAGTTTGATCCTTGGAATCCACATGGTAGAAGACTAGAAATGACTCCTGGAAGTCATCCCCAGACCTACACACAGGCTGTGGCACATGTGTGCCCCAACCCTGACATGAAACAATTTTAAAAATCAAGCTCCTAGATGCTGTCCCTCTTCCCTGTTGTCTAGTGAATATGAGACAGTCATCCTGTACATATGCAGCATCTGAGCAGAGAAGGCAGTGCAAAGTGAACACCCTATTTCTTACAGAGCTAGGAGACGCATCTATATTTTTGCAGATCTGAATCTGTTCGTGAAGACAATTCAGAAGGCTACAATTCAATCCTACGTCATTGGCAATGGCTATATGAAGTCCACGGTTTGAAGGCTTCCGTCCTTTCACCTCTGTTGGCTGCCACACAGTTCCAGCACAATAACAGAACTCTAAAGATATGAAGATCTGGCCAATCTTATAATGGACTTCAGGGAGTTCACATGGTACATGAAGCTTAGTTCTTTCTCAGAAAGTATAAATTGAAAGGAACTGGGATGGCATAATTAAAGAGTCAGGGGAGCCTACCCATTTGCTATCAATGAAAACATGGCCATGCAGGGAGAGGATCTTCCACGCTAGGCTGGCAGGGACAGGCACACTGACTGGCCCATGCCCTCCTAAACTAAGCAGAGAAAGTGCCAATATCATTTTGGGGAAATAAATCTTATGTGCCAAAGGAATATCCAGACTCACCTGCTACTTGGCTTATCAAATCAGGTCTTCAGCAATCTAAGGGCAGAAGGAGACCTGGAATTACTGGTTCTCTAAACTCTGAGGTCTTGACACGTACAGGCTAACTACAGGACACAAGACAAACTGCTCACCATAAAAACTAGTTTGAGAATGTATACGACAGGCCTAAGAAATTAATTCTGCATAGATACCAATTATATGGTATTTAAAGTATCTTGAAAAGAAACACAGGACCAGGAGTGGTGGTCCCACCACTCAGAGGCAGGAGGATTAGGAGTTCTAAGGCAAGCCTAAGGTAAGGAAGAACCTGTCTCAAAAACCCAAATGAGGGATGAGATGGCTTAGTCAGCAAATCATCTGCCAAGCAAGCAGGAGGACTTGAGTTTGGATCTCCAAGACCCATTTTAAAAGCCAGAGGTGGATGCATGCATCTGTAACCCCAGCATTAAGGGGGCAGAGACAGGAAGATCCCTGAAGCTCACAGGCCAGCCAGCCTAGCTGGGTCAGTTTCAAGGTTCAGTAAGGGACTCTGTTTCAGCTGGGTGTGGTAGTCCACGGCTTTAATCTCAGGCAGGTGGATCTCTGTGAGATTCAGTCCAAGCTGGTCTACAAAGCAAGTTCCAGGTCAGAAGAGGCTACATGGAGACTGACTGAAAAAATTAAAAGATGAAGAGCAATCAGGGAAAGACACCTAACATCTACTTCTGGCCTCCAGGTGCACCCCCATTAACAAGCACACATACACAAAACCACCGAATGAATGAATGAATGAATGAATGAATGAATGAATGAAAGAAAAAAGAAAGCTAACTTTGGAACTTGTATTACTCACTTTTCTGTTGCTGTGATAGAAACACTGACCAAAACAACTTATAAAAGGAAGAGTTTATTTGAATTTATGGTTCCAGGGGAGTTACAGTCCATCATGGCAGGGGGGCATGGTGGCTGGAGGTGGCTGGAACAGGAGTAGCAGAAGCTAAGCTCTCACATCATCACGTAGGTACAACTGGAGATCTGGCAAGGCTTAAGAACTCTCTAAGCCCACCCCCAGTGACATGCTTCCTCCAGGATAACCACACCTTCTAAAACCTCCCAAAACAGCGCCATCATCTGGCGACAAAATGTCCAAATACTTGGAGTCTATGGGGGACATTTTCATTCAAACCATCACATGGTCCTTAACATAGAGACAAAGAACCCTGAATTCCACTTTAGGAAAACTTTAGATCAAGCACAATTTGTAAGAAAACACTTTCTTGCCAGGTATAGTGGTGGCGGTTCACACCTATAATGTCACCACTCAGGAGACTGAGGTTAAGAGGACTGTCATGAGTTTGAGGCCAGTCTGGACTACATAGTGAGTTTTAGGTCAGCCTGAACTAGAGAGTATCTTTGCCTAAAAGAAAAAAAGAAAAAACTTTACAATAATAGTCACCCACGTCCAACCTTCAGACTAAACTTGCTTTGTTACTTTTTGTGGAAAACATTTACTGAGCTCTACCTTCAATACATGACTCATCTGCCTTGAGCAAGGAAGGCTATGAAAGCCAGGTTGAGTCCCAGGGCCTGTTCCTACCATCTTCAGACCTCTCAGCCAGCACGGCTCCTGCTATATCCAGGCCTGGAAATTCAAGTCCTAAAGCCTGGGCTTGCCTTCCTCTCCTTCACCTCTCAGCAGGAAAAGGTGATATTCTCCATCTATCCTTTTGTGAGAGTAAATAACACAGAAATGTAAAAGCATCAATCCAGTTAAAGAACAAAGTAAATTCCATACTTATTTGAGGACTAAAATTACCAAGGGAGAGGACACTCACAGGTGGTAACAGCAGCTGGCTTGTCTTCACAGTGAGAACTGGGGCTTTCCACTACTGAGTCTTGCTGACTGCTATGTAAGTATCATAGCACTATAAGCAATACTCAAAGGACAAGTAGGTGTGAAAATATTAAACACACATTACTAAGTTCTACTTACAATAACTGCTTTAAACTTAAAGGTCATGGTTAACTAAATTTCCCATTACCATCAATCAGAAATATTAAAGAGCTCTACCTGGAATAGACGACCACTCTTGGCTCTTACAGTGCTAGTGACTTAACCGCCGTTAAATTCAAGTAAAATGTACATTGCCTTTGTTTCTACCAAATATGATGTTTACATGTGGGGCAAATAATTAACTGGCTTAAGAACTCCCTTCAGAAACAGTCAACACATTTTGCTCATCAGTACAAAAGCTACAGTCAGAAGTTGCACATAAAGGGTTTATTTTGAATGTTTTAAGGAAGGATAGAGTTACATCATAATTATAAAAATTACTTACAGAATTAACAGATTTATACTGTGTATACTTCTAAATGCAGAGAACAGGGAACTGTCTACACACTGTATAAAATAAAATTAAAATTAAAAATGAATTCAAGCTCAAAAAATGAGGTCGTTTACCTAGTTTTAAACGTGAGCACAAAGACCTCTGAACTCCACTCGCTCATTCAAACTGCACCAACAATGGATGGAGTACAAAGAGCGCAGCATCCCAAGGAACAGATATCCTCCACGGTCACTGCATCTCCACAACTGTTCCTGTTTGTCTTGGGAGGATTTTCACTTCATAGACAATCAGCGTAAGTGTTTTCAGGCACTACAATTTGTGACAATCAGAACAGTCTTCTTTCTAATGGGTCTACAGTGTTCAGAGATTCAAGCCCAATGCACTTTGGGGTTTGGCACATAAAACAAGAACAAAAATGAAATCTGGCTTAGAAGCAACTGTGACTTTTAGAGCGTGCACAGTCCCTTCGGATGCTGCGTGACATATACAACTGGAATCACCTTCATCGGCGCTACGTTTGCTTCACCAGTGCATCGTTATCCTACAACCACTAGAACAGCACAGTAAGCAAATATACAGGGAACTGAAAGCAAATCAAAGGAAAGAAAGAAAAAACCTAAGTCTCTTTAACATGCAATTTAGTTAGTTACATTGAACATTCTACTTAGAGCATGCAAAAAAGGATGGTCTGCTTTTTAAGGTTCTTCTCTGAAGTTTACGTGGCAGCCTGACGTCACACACGCACGCACACACGATACGATACTAGAGCAGGTAAGTGAGGAAGGCCAATAAATTTTATACACAGATTCACGCCTTGTGTTGCCACAAGCCCCATGATAATTTTGGAAATTAATGTTAAACTCCTAAACAAGGAACCAACATTCAGATACCAGAACAATGCAAGCAACGCATGCAGATCTGACCATGAGCCTGAAGGAAGCCCAAGGTAGCAGGGCTCAGGAGCAGAGTCAGTCACCATTAACCATGGTGGAAGCCACCAAAAGAAAGAATGAGGGGAAAATGGAAAAACAACCAAAAAACTCTTCCCCTTCCCCAGCCCTCAGGGTAATAAATGGAACAGTGATCCAGGCCATCATCATGATGTTGCAGTCCTCTACACCAGGAGATCATGAGTGCACCAAAGTCACCATAGGTGCTTGCAGAAATCCACAATGCAAGTCATTTAATAAGGGCAGAAATATTTCAACTTACCTAACCCTCAAAAGGAACACTTCAAAAGGAACTTCCTTTCCAGCCTGAAGTCATCATGCCATGTTCTGCACTGTCAGTACATGCCAGACACACTCACTTATTTGTGCCACAAATGTCAGCATGGGCTGCAGGAACCAGGCTCTACACTGAGATTTACATGCAGGAAGACACACAGCAGACCTGCAGGACGACACCTGGTCACATGTACTAGAAGCACCAAAGACTAGGGTCTATCACACTGCTTTGAGAAGCTTGTCCCTGGGAGCACATGGGAAATGCAAAGGGTGACTGCAGCCAGGGACAGAGAACTGAGGTACTGTTTTCACATGATGAGAACCATGACCATCCAGAAGCATAAGGCATCAGCCTCTGTGAAGGCTAAAATGGGTATCCAGCAGACCATGCACTGAGAGGCCTTAACACCAGGGAATGATCTCTTATATCGGGAAGAGCCCCAACAGAAGTAGGCAGACCTGAACTCTAAACCTCTGGTGTTTGTCTGATAGCATGCCTATGTGGGGTCTGCTCAAGCCACAGGTAAGAGTTCCAATCTCTACAAAAGACTGGTTTTCACATATGGCCTTTCTCTAGCTGTCAAACCACTAGTGAGAGTGGCCAGTTGGCTGGTCAACCAACCACATTTTCAGTTCTACTTCAGTTACAAACAACCCTGCAGGAATAAGCCATGAAAGGGCCCTGTGGTGAAGAGTTGCTATTATACCCACAAGCCAACAAGGATGCCTGAGCCTTCTACAGTAACACATTACTGACATGCAAAGCCTGGGCCACAGAGGGAATGAACCTGCATCAACAGCACACCCAGAGCAAGAACAGAGACACCTCCACAACCAGTCAAGACAGGAGGCTGGTGTTTGTCCAACATTCTCTGTGGGGGGGAAAAAGGAAAGCCAGGGGGAAGGGGCAGGGAGATGAGGCCTTCTGATCATAATCATATGTCAACAATAATAGTAATAAAAATTAAAAAGTCCCAGAGAACTTGTTAGAAGGCAACAATGCCATTTTTAAAACTTCCATTTCGAATTACAAACGCACTGTTCTTCCAGGAATTTACCACACACACAAACCACTGATATACTGTTGCCTTTTAAACCCATGTACTAATATTTTGATAACTGATGTGTACAAATAGACCAGATGTGCCATCTAAAGCACACCTTCATGGTACCATGTGAACCAAGGACCTGGCTTTTACTTAAAAAGTATTTATGATTGAAGTGTAAACAACAACAACAACAAAAATGATTACAAAGCTTAGAATTGAAGGCAGCCTTTTACCCAGATTTCACAACAATTTACTAAATTCTACTGTGGGTCATTAACTGTTTACAACTAATTTACATTTGGACTTATGGTTAAAAGCCTCCAAAAGAAATGATACTCTGAAATTCTGATTTGCAAAACAATCTAAATGCCCCTGTGTGCGTCCTATGCCCCAATTTAATTTTAAACAAAGAGCAGGCATATCATAAATACGACTGACTTGAGTTAAGCACTCCTGTTGAACTGGAGAAAACTGTATCACCCCCACATCAATCCATGAGGAAAGGACTGCCAGTGGTGAGTGTGTGCCTGTGTGTGTGTGTGTGTGTGTGCGCCTGTGTGTGTGCGTGTGTGTGTGTGTAATATAGGCACACAGGTGCAGATCTAGACAGGTAGCTATAGATACATAATCTCTCAAAAAAAGGCAGTAACAAAAATAACAAACTATGCTTGCATTGTGGCAGCAGAATAAGACAGTGTTAAGAGCAAAGGAGAAAATGGTTACGACCTATTCAGATTTAAATGACTATGATACTAGCTTAACTTTTACCACCTTGCCTGTAACCCCAACAGACAGTCTTCTTGTAAGAGGGAAGATTCCCCTCATACAGATGCTCTGAAGAGAGATGATCCCCTCACAGATGCCTTGTGTTCGAATCAATCTGCACTAGTCAGAACAACACCAGCTCTGCTGGTGGAGATTGTGGGTTCGCAGGGACATCTAAGCTTTCATTAAACTGGAAAGCAATCAAGTCTTTATGTCTACAAATTATACATTTAATAGTTCCACAAATTTGGCAAAGTTCGTGATGACATCTAGGATGTTTTCACCAAATCGTAGACATAAATATGGAAATCGTCATCAAACTTGATGAAATAGACGGAGGGTTTGGCCTCTACTTGGTGGATGACCATGCCAGTCCTTTTGGAGCCATCTTCTTTGGCATATTCCACTTGCTTGCCTACCAGGCTGTCCACAACTTCTCCTGGCTCCCTTTCTGCTGGAGGCGAATCATCTGTATTTAAAAGAAAAATAAGGTAAATTTGTTGGTACACCCCATCATAAGCTTAGCAGCACGTATCAATTAAAAACCATATATATCATGTGTCCTGAGTTCACCATGATCATCTGCCAGTCAGTCAACACTTTCTTAAAGGGGCACCTGGTATATACCTCAGGTACAAGGTCAATGTTCCAACCATTTGACTAAGAAAATGCAGCAACAAAGTGGCCAGGGACAGTCCAGAAGCGAATGGATGTACTGTGCTCTAGTAAAATATCACTTACAAGGGTGGGACAAGGTGGCTCACACCTTTAATCCCAGAACCTGGGACAGCCTGACAAACACAGTGAGTTCCATGTCAGTCAATGCTACAGTGAGATCCTTCCTCAAAACCAAATCAAACCAAACCAACTCCTACCCCCCTCAAACAAAACAAAATAAAAGCCCACTATTTACAAAATGTTTTCCTGACCCTCATTTTAGACAGATGCATGAGAATAATACAATTTTAAAATTATAACCAAAATTCCTTGGGATCATATTAAATTTTAACTGCAATTATCTAAAAGTAGTTTAAATGACTGTGAAATGGCTTTTCAAAGCAGGTATTTCCTACAGGGAGTCCTGAGAACACACGGCTCACTGAAAATGCTGAAGCATTATTGGTTTTACTCTGTGAATCTTTAAAGCTTCCCCTCTCAACCTCAAAGCAATCCAAATCATCTTTCAACCGAGTTTCAGAATGAGAGACTCCCCATGCTTTATCAGTAGTAAGCACTAAGTAAATTCACCTCAGATCCAGAGAACAGAATCTCTAAGGGTAGACCTGCACACCTGCAAGTGCCCCAGGTGGCAGAACCACACCTCTGGGAAAGCAGGGCATGACAGCAAGCTGCCACTATACAAACTATACAACAAAACAAACTGGGATGGGGGTGGGGGTGCAAGGCAGTCACAGCGTATTTTAAGGCACTTCTTAGAGATTCTGAATACTGCCAAACTTTCTTCCTTGGGAACAGAAAGACTTCAGGTGGGGCCAGACGTCTCAGCTGTACAAAGCAGCCTGTGTTACCCTGGCACAATCAGTAGGGAACCAGCTTACTCACACAAGCATCCTAGTTTGGACCATGTAACATTTACATTAATAATACTTTACTTCTGATTACAGTTAAGTTCTCACTAAACACAATCTGAAACTTGCTGCTGTGGTCTCTGGTATAAATATTCAGAATACAAACGAAATGTGCACCCCACAGTCCTTAAAGCAGGAAGTAAAAGGAAATTTAAGCTGCATTCTTTTCCAAAACACCTTCCCTTGGGCAGCACAGTCCTACTATACACTTTCACGGAAACTCAGGTTTATAAAAGAATTCCAAATGCATAAACCCACATTAACTTAACAGTAACGCTGAGAACCCAGGGAAGAACTCAATAACCACGCTGAAGGGGTTATTATCCGAGCACCACCATTATTTCTAATGGGAAATAAACTTCCACACCACTCACAGGAAACTTAAGAAGCTTGGAGGAAGGAGGGGAAAGACCAAGTGGCTGGACATACTGTGCTGAGACCTATGTGCAAGGACATTGCCCTTCTATTTATTAGATTAGCAGTGCTTACTTTGGACATTTCTTCACAAAAATGTTAAAAATGAACTTAACACAGGCTGGAGAAATGCTTAAGGAATGCTCTTAGGATAAGTGAATCCTGGTGGACACAAATAATTCCCTCTGCAAAAAATGTACACAAATGCCAGAGATGGTGGCACACTCCTTTAATCCCAGCATACGGGAGGCAGAGGCAGGGGGAGGTCTGTGAAATACAGGCCAGCCTGGTCTACATAGCAAGTTCCAGGCCAGCTGCAGCCACAAGAAGACTGGATCTAAGAAGAAAAAAAGTGCACAAACTTGTAGAGGTTTGGCCTGGGAGAGGTGAATGTCTCTAATCCCAGCACAGAATGATCTTAAGTTTGAGCTCTAGGCTACATACCAAGACACTGTTTAAAAACAAAACAAAAACCAAACAAATAGGCTTGTCCAAAAATTCTAATAAGAAAACAATTCCATTCCTAGTAGCATCAAAAAGAATAAAATACTTAGAGGCAAGTTTAACAAAAGAAATGCAAAGTTTGCCCACTGAAAATTCTAAACATTGTTCAAACATACCAAAAATTTCAGTAAATTCAAAAGCACCCTCGGTCACAGATCTGAAGACTTGCTAACTTTTGTTAACCTTGTTAAGACTATTCCACACAGACTCCACACCATCAATACCCGAATCTCAACAGACTTTGTTTTTGTTTTATCTGTATGAGTATTTGCCTGCATGTATGCGAGTGTACCATATATATGCCTGGTGCACATGGAGGCCAGAAGAGGGTATAAATCTCTGCAACTGTAGTTAAGGCGGTTATGAGGTCGCCACTGTAGGTGTCCCCTGCAAGAACAGCTAGTGTCTTAACTACTGAGCCATCTCTCCAGCCCTGAAGCAGACTTTCTTCAGACTCAAATGCTTATGGCGGCAACCTGATTTCAAAATTCATATGGAATCGCAAGGGCCCAGAACAGCCACAGCAGTCCTAGAAATGAACAAAGGTTGTCTCAGTCCCAATGTTAATACTTACTACCATTCATACAGCTACTGTCAACTAATTTTCAACAAGGTGCCAAAACCATTCTACGAAGAAAAAAGAATAGTCTTTTCAGCAAATGGCACTCAGTCAAGTGGAGTTTCGTGAAAAAGAATGAAGCTGAGACCCTTACACCTTACCTCATTTTATACACAAATGTTAATTCAAAAATATTTCAAATTAGAACACTTTTAAAAAAGTCATGATGTTGGATTTATAAGAAATGCTTATATTATTCTTATGATACCAAAATACAAGCAACAAAAGAAACAGATAAACTGGATCTGAAAGTTAAAAACCTTAGTGTCTAAGACTATCATCAAGGAAGCTGAAAAGACAGCTAGCATGGTAGTGCCGGTAATCCCAGGACTTGGGAGACTGGTACAAGAAGGTAGAGAATTTGAGCCTAGCCTGGGCTGTATAGTAAACTGCAGGCCAACCTAAGCTATATAGCAAGGCTGTGCTGCAAACCCATCCCATCCCCCAACAACAAAGTGAAAAGACAGTCTACCAAAGGACCTCTCCTTTCAGCATATCACATATCCAGTAAAGGACTTGTACCTAGAATACAGACTCTCACAACCTAATAATAAATGACAACCTAATTAAAACATGAGATCAGAATCTGAACAGATATTTCACCAAAGATACACAAACGGCCAACAGAACAGGAAAAGATTCCTTGACAGCATAGGTCACCAGGGAAACCATTTCATACTCATTAGGAGCAGTGCTAGAATGAATTTAAAACAAGCAAGTGCTGGTGAGAAAGTAGGGAAGCAGAGCCTCATGCTCTTAAAGGCAAAGTAAAAGAGGTATAAGCCGAACAATGAAACCTGGAGTTGCCACCATGACCTAACGATTCCAAGGCAAGACACACTCTCTGAGAAACACCCACAGAGAATCTCAGACTCAAATGCTTATGGCAGCAATATTCATAGAAACCAAAACACAGAAACAATTTAAATAGCAATCAATGGATAAAGAGATTAAAGATGGCATCATCCATACAATGGTCTTTAAAGTTCTAATGCATGTTACAACATAGAGGAACCTTGAAATCATGCTAAATAAAAAGCTAGTCACAGAAGACCCCATAAAATCCACTTAAAGTCCACCACAGGAAAATCCACATAGAAAGTGAATTTATGGGCCGATTCAAGTTGGGAAGAAGGGATAGGGAGATCAGAAATAAAGAATCTGGGTGTGGTGGGGGCCAAAGGGGTGATCAGGAAGCTCAACGTCATTCTCAGCTAGGTAGGGAGTTTAAGACCAGTCTGGGTGGGGCTGGAGAGACGGCTCAGTGGTTAAGAACACTGAATGTTCTTGCAGAAGACCCTGGTTCAAACCCCAGCGCCCCCCACCCACGGCTGCTAACAACCATGCGTAACTCCAGTCCCAGGGGATCCGACAACCTCTTCTGACCTCCTCAGGCATTGACATGGGTGCACTTACCTACATGCAGGCAATACACACATACACATAAAATAAAAAGAATAAAAAATATCATCAAATTATATTGTATGAAAATCACAAAAATTCAATAATAGAAAATTGCAAGGCAAGAATGTGCGAAATGTGTGTAAAATAAAGAAAAGCAGTGAGGGAGGGAGGGGGAGGGAGGGAGAAATGCAAAAGGCTGTGGTCTCCTGATGTAGTAACAGTGTGCTAGCCCTAGCCCTGATGCTGTGAGGACCAGACGTATCTGTGAACACAGTGTGGCTCCCTCCCATGCAGTACCAGTGCTCTAATGCTGACCGATACACAAGGACCTCACATATTGACAAACATACTAAAAACGACTGAGTTAACTATATGACACAAAATCATAGCTAAATAAAAACTTTGGTGTTTAAAGCCAAACCTGGCTGAGCATAATGGTGTATTCCTATGAATCCTAGCATTCTGGAGGCTGAGGTAGGAGGATCACAAGTTCAAGGCCAGTTTTAGAATATAAAACAAGTTCCAGGCCAATTTCTCCTATACAATGAGGCTGTCTCAATTAACAAGCTTCATGAAACTATGTCTCATGCACTCTTTTCTACTTTATCCACATGAATTGAAACCCTGTAATCTAGTTGCTACTAAAAGGTTCCCTCTCGGGTTCCAAGTTTTGTTTTGTTTTTGTAGTGCTAGGGATTCAGCTCAGGTCAGGGCCTCATGTGTGCTCAGCAAGCCCTCTCTCTAGCACTAAGTTACATCTCAAGACCCAATTAATAGCTTTCTGAAATCAGTGTTCTCCAAAGTTCAGTATTTACAGATAAAATTATCAACACTGATAATCAGCTTCAAAATAATTTGACTGGGAAAAAGCAGGTAAAATTAGACTGGCAATGAGACAGCTACTGAGGCTGACTGGAGCGGACTTACTTTACTCTTCCCCATACTATCACATACTTTCAAGTAAAATTTTCATTGTAATATTTGTAAAAAGTTTAAAATAATCTCTATTTTATTACAAAAGCAAAGTAATCAAATATTTTATCATCTAGGAAAAATTCGACAGTGTATACTTGTGTGCAACAATCACAAATCCAAAAACTTACTTGCAAAGCAATTACTCAAATACTTTAGCTAAAACACAAATCTCTTTCAAATGATCAAAAACAAGTTTCCAGCGTACTTACTGGAATCGGGCATGATGCGGAGGTCGCCCTCTTTGTAATCATCTAGGAGCTGGTACATGTACAAGACAGGGTCTTTTTCATAGGTGATGTAAAACCACGTGTTCATGACAGGTGCCCGAGCCAAGACCATCCCCCTCCACTCATCTTTAGAGCCGTCCTCTGTCTCAAACATGTGCTCCACTGCTTTGCCAATCATCGTGTCCGCTAAGTGTGCATCGCTGATTCGAGATGTTGCTGAAATTAAAGAAAAGAAATGAAATGTTTCACCGAGTATTTACTAACAAGACAAAACTCATTAGTGAACACAAGAGTCATCAGCAGAACTTTAAACCGTACAACCATCAAAGTACCAGGGCCCAGTACAGTGGTGGACTAAACAGGAAAGAAACTGCCAAGTCAACAATCTATTTTTCATTTCTTAAAATTTTCTGGAGTATTACAACCAAATCACAGATCTGAAGTGTTCATTCAAGGCATTCGATGTTACTGTTTATATAACAATTAAACTGTGAGTTAATGTCAAGTTCACAGAAGAGTTGCAGAAACACTAGAGTTCCCATATACAGTTGCTCTTCCTATTAACATTTACTGAAACTAAGAAATTGGTCAGTAAGATGGCTCCGTAGGTAGAAGCACTTCTCTGAAAACCTGGTGACCTGAGCTTGAGTAGCAGATGCCATGGTAGAGAAGAATGACTCCCACAGGCTGTCCTCCGACCTCTATATGTACCCCCTTACACATAACATTGAAAGAAAAAACTTTAAAGATATTAACCTTAGGATACGTTTGACGTGGTTTTGAAAGAAACTGATGCTTCATTTCTTATCTCTATTTTCATGTTCTGTGAATCCAGGTTTTTACTCTAATGCCTACAGTCATTCTCCATAGCAACCAGAATCATCATTGTGGTATTTGAATCAGATTGTCATTTAAAATGTCCCAAGGTTTTCCCATCTTTTCTGCCCTCCCCCCCTTTCTGTCCCTCCTTTCCTCCTGGAGGGTCCCATTGCTCTTCTCCTTGCAGAACATCCTCTCTGCTCAGACACTCTTCCCCTCTGGGGAGCAGGCTCCTTCCACAGCAAGGTCCCTAGAACTCCAGGCCTGCCAGAGACAACAGCACTACCATCTGCATCATGTTCTGCTGTTCTCCCAAAACAATCTTTAGTGGATTTGTTTACATCTTTATTATCTGGACATGCCCAGGACAGCAGAGGCCCTCTCCCTGTTTCTAACTCTTAGAGCATAGCTCCAGGCTAGCAGCTATCAAGATAGCCTAGGAGGTTGAAGGTGGACCTCCTGCCCTAAAGGCACAGGGACAGGGACCTCCCAGTCCTACTCTGCCATTCTTACAAAAAGCAAGTGACGAATTACTAGCCTTTTATATTTGTTTTTGATACTGGGGAAATTATGAGAGATTGGACTTTCAAGTTTCTCCAGTTCTCACAATTTTGACAACTATCTAAATCTTTACTTTCATCAAATTTTCCTATCAAAATCAAAAGGAAAAGAAGTTCAGGTTTTCTTGCAAGTGTATTGCTACTAAATTTAATTAGGCTATACAATGTGCACGGTGGTTTTACATACGCAGCAGTAATCAGACGGCACGAAATCTCCTCTTCATGATAGTTAAAACACACATGGGCACACACACACACACCTCTAATGGTTTCTTCATGCCAGCAGGTTTCAAAACTATTTTCTAACAGAAGTTTAATAAAAGTGACATTTTACAATTTTGCGAATGTCTTCATGTCCAGCTTTTAAAAATTAAGATTTTTACTTATGTGTGTGTGAGCACCTGTGGTGTGTACAGGCATGCAGAAAGGACAGAAGATGGTGTCAGATCCCTGAGATGGTGTGATAGGCAATTGCTGGACACCTGGCTTGTTACATGGGTGCCAGAATTTGAACTGTGGTCCTCTTGAATGCTCAGTTAGCATTCTTAACCACTAAACCATTTCTCTCCAGCCCCCTTATATCTAGCTTTTAGACACAGCTTGATTCTCATATATACTTTAGCATTCAAACCATATTTTCAGTTGTGTAAGATCGGCTTTACAAAGATATACTGTTGAAAATGAGAATTCTGATTGTTTTCAAATAATTCTAGATTTTTATCTAGATATGATGGATGGATGAGTCTCCATCCAAAGCCCACAAGGAGTAGCTCCTAAGTGGTCAGTTGCAGCACAGAGTGTGAATCAATTATCATTAAAACTTTTCAAACTGGCACACTACACCTACCTGTCTCCAGATCAAAGAACTTTAACAACATAAGAACCCCCCCATCTGATTTTTAAAAAAATGAAATAATTTGAAGAGACATTTCTCCACAAATATACATCAATGGCTAAGAAATATGCAGGGGATGCTCAATATTGTTAATCACACATCAAAATCACAATACCGATGGGTGGCTACTATCAAAACAGAAAATGCTAATGCTGGGAGGGAGGGAGAACAGAAACCTTTGAGCACTGTTGGTGGGACTGTAAAACCACCAACTATGGAGAAACAATATGGCAATTCCATTTAGAAAATGCAAATTAGGATGACCCCATGATCAGGCAACACCACTTCTGGGTGTCACCATGTTCACAGCAGCATAACTCACAGTCTTACATGCCACCAAGTCGTGGAAACAACCAGGGGTCATGGATAAACAAAAGGGACTATGTATGTATGTATACACCAGAACATGACTTTTGGCCTTAAAAGGGAAGGAACTCATGCCACATGCTATCCATGTGTCTCAAGCCTGAGCACATTTTTCTGGATGACATAAGTTAGTCACAGAAAAACAAATTTTGTTTGCCATCACAGGGTGCCCACAGTAGCCAAATTCCTTAAGGCAGAAAGAATAATGGATGCCAAAGGCTGGGGGCGGGGGGGGGGGGGGGCCCTTAATGGTCACAGAACTTCAAAAAGGCTCTGGAAAGCTAACTCACAACAACTTCACATGCTAGTGCTATAAAAAAAAAAAACACTTAAAAATGAGAGCAAATTTTGTGTGGTGTCTTCTGCCCCGTGTTTTGCAGTGCCAGTCTTGCCCTCGGAGCGAACTTTTTATCAATGTATCAGGTACCACCACACATGGTTTGTGTGTGTGCTGAGTTATGCAGACCTTCCCAGCAGGCAGACAGGGGAACTCCATGTCAAAAGGACAAAGTCTATCTTAATGTTAGAAAAATAATTTTGACTTGTGAACCTCTTAAACAGCCTATGGGCACTAAGGGCCCAAACCTTGCCTTGGGAATAGTTGAAGTCGTCCCATGCCCTTCAGCTGGCTTTTTCCCCACATTGCTGTAACTTTTACAAATACAATTCAAAGTACTAACTGAAGTAGGCTAAAAAAGACAGTTTCCTCCTACACAGAATATAAAAGGCAAGTATTTCAGATTCAACTATCACAGTGAATAAATACTGACGCTTTATAAGAGTATGTGTTTTGCCAGGCATGGTGGCTCATGCCTCTAACCCCACCCCAGCCCTCCAGAGGCTGAGGCAGAAAAATGGCAGCAGGTTCAAGACCAGCCTCCTGGCCCCTCCCAACCTAACTACTAACTGAATGAGGCATACAATAAAACATTTTGCAGATCTGCAGTGTCATTTAGATTCCTCTTTGCAAGTTTTCTTAGTTTACAACACCAATTCACATCCAGTGATGAAAACAACACAAAGCTAACTTTGTGGCAGCACTTGGTCAGTCAGAGAGGCACTGGTTTCCTTCTGTCCTATGGAAGCCAAAGGACACAGCAACATGCACCAAGGCTAAGTGAGCTAGCAGTCTTCCCTAATAGGGACACGGATCAAATTTATGGGACAGAAAACAAGGCATGCCAACTACTTAACACAGGTAGCTGATGTATCTGGATGATTTTCTCTAAAGCCTGTAGGCAATATTTATTAAAGTTTCCAATGTGGGGACTGGACTGATATCAAGATCAATTACAAGATATGCACTCAAGAGCAGAACATGAGCTCAGTGACATTAACAGTTGAGAGCTAGGCACATAGTACAGGCCTGCTGTCCCAGCTAGTCAGGAGGCTGAGACACAAGGATCACTTGAGTTCATGAGTTGGAGACTAGCCTGAGTAAGGCTCAAGTTGCCTTTTCTTCGAGATTTTGTCTAAAAAAAAAGACGGAAACTGTAAAATAGTTAAATTTAAAGTTTTGTGAAAACTGAACCATGTTTGTATGGGAATGAGCAGATTTATCTTTAATTCTGAAAAACTAAAAACCAGTATTTTACGTAGCAGTATAATTATAATAAAGCACCTTAAAATATGTAACACTGACTTGTGTATCCACCCTAATTAAAACTGTGATCAGTAATCACTACTTAGACCTTGTGCCTTAACTGGCATCTCTAAGGCAAAACTGATTTCACATGACCCACTATAAAAGCCATCTACTTCTACATTGTTCAAGCCCTAAAGAAAGGACAAAGCTCTCATCCTGGATGCTTTCATCTCTAAAGAACAATCACCATTCACATAATACCCAAGGAAAGACACAGGGTCAAAGATTTCTTCAGCTGTGAAATCAACACAGCAGATATGTGAGCCAATGACAATCACACCCTGAGTCCAGATGAGACATGAGAAACAGCTGTATGGGAAAATGGTACCTTGTAAATCTCTTAGAGATGTTCTATCTTTTATATATTCTTCACAACTCCCTGAATCACAGTTTCTAAAGCATCTGCTCTGGGTCAGTTTTTGTGGTCTTAGGTGATACATGTTTATCAGGGGCACTTGACATCTGACAGAAGTAAAAATACTAATACTGTAAAATAATCAAAAAGTATCCATTTCAATTATCACTTTTAAAAGTAATAATGTACAAATAGTTAAAAACAAAAAACAACTTACCAACTCTATCAGGGAGGACTTCAAGTGCAGAAACTCTTTCATCTTTATTAAGTTCTAGTCCATAAACACAGTCAAATCCATCGTACTTTATAAGATATAGGGAAGGATTCACGGGCACCTGGTCCAGGACAGTTCCCTTCCACTGGGTGACAGGGCCGTTGCCCTCTCTCCACCCATGCTGGATCCTGCAGCCTACGATGTTCCGCCGGGGCTGGGACACAGGCTTGCTTGGCCCCACACTGGTCCGATGTTTTCTGTATTCACACATATAATGTGTTATTCTCACAAGTATGCACACCCCAATCCAATACAACCAATAGCTTACATGCTCCTGTTATACAGGATCCCAAGACATGTGCAGACTCTTTACTGGTAAGTCAGGGAACTGAGGCAGGATTGGGAGTTTGAGCTAACAGAGCGAAACTCTGTTATGGCTGAAGAGATGGCTCAGCAGTTAAAAGCACTTGCCACTCTTGCAGTGGACCCAGCACCCACACGGTGGCTCACAAGTGCCTTTAACTCCAGTTCCAAGGGATCCATGCCTTCTGGTATCCACAGGCACCAGCACCAGACAAGCATGTGAAGTACATATATGCAGACACACACATACACATAAAATAAAAATATATCCTAAAACACCACCATTACCACCACCCAAGCTGCTACGGCCATGTTCCTATGCAGGGAAATGCAGGTGCTCAGCTCCTTATAATGGAGCAGCAGCATTGGATGTGCAGCTTCCCAGAGCTCAGTGTCTAACACACTCTTCAGGAGCAGAATTCTGGGCATGGGACCACATGTAAGCACAAGAAAATTCCTCTTAAGAATGAGCTTTTCATCACCTGCACTTCCTCTAATTCAATCACCTCAGAATTACCCAAGTTTAAGAACAGAAGGGCTGACTGCATGAGGCGCATTACAATTCTAACTACACACATACAGTTTACATAGTACAAATCCAATTTAAATTAAGAAGAAATGTGAAGGCCAAGCGTGGTGGTGCGAGCCTTTAATCCCAGCACTCAGGAGGCAGAGGCAGGCGGATCTCTGTGAGTTCAAGGCTAGCTTGGTCTACATAGTGAGCTCCAGGCCAGCTGGGGCTACAGAAAGACCCTGTCTCAAAAATACCACACCCCCCAAAAATCAAAACAAAACAACAAAAAAGAAGATATGTGTAACTCTTGAATTCTTATCATTTTAATGCCCTGGTAATCCTGAAAATAAACTAGGCATTTAACTCTAGGGAACTGGACTGGCTCACATGTGGGTGCACTATGTTTCTTTCTCTAGGAAACACACTTTTCGTGACATACCTGGACCTATCTCAAGGCTAGTGGTCTACATAGTGAGCTCCAGGCCAGCTGGGGCTACAGAAAGACCCTGTCTCAAAAATACCACACCCCCCAAAAATCAAAACAAAACAACAAAAAAGAAGATATGTGTAACTCTTGAATTCTTATCATTTTAATGCCCTGGTAATCCTGAAAATAAACTAGGCATTTAACTCTAGGGAACTGGACTGGCTCACATGTGGGTGCACTATGTTTCTTTCTCTAGGAAACACACTTTTCGTGACATACCTGGACCTATCTCATATACCTTTTAAGAGTTTATAATAAACACTTGCCTCCTAGGATCCACCTATCTCTGGCCCTACACCTCCATTCCCTGCTTTTACATGGCTGCTGGAGACCCAGGCTTTAGGTCTTCAGGTTTGTTCAGAAAGCACTTTACCCATTCAGCCGTCTCCCTAGCCCCTAACCCTGGCTCTTGAAATCAGAAGAAAAAAAAACATTACACCTTGAAATGCAAGGACAAGGGAGGAGGCTTGGCTTGGCTGGGAGCTGAGGGCCAAGCCAACCTGAGAGGTGCTGCTACATGCCAAGAGCAAAACAGGCCTTTTGAAAAGAGTCCCTTTTCACTTCATGGGTATACAGGACATATATCATAGATAATTTTAAAAATAGTTCATTGTAAGTTGTATCAGTTAAAGCTGTGTCTGTGTGTGTATACACACACACACACACACATACATATAACTTATTCTGACTGCTTGTATAAATTTAGCCAAGTCAAAGGTCCTGGAAGACAGATAAAGGTCTTTTGCAAACATAAGGACACCAGAGCCACCAAGAAGTACTTCAAGAGGGAATAAAGAGCTGAGCCAAAGTAAGGGAACTGGGAAAGGGAGTGATAAAGTAAACACAAGACTTACAGGCCAGACCCTACTCTATCTGCCCTGAAGGCTTTGCAGAAATCCAGCACACTTTCTACCACAGAGCCCTATGGCTAAGCCACCCCACTGAGAAAAGCCTAGCTTAGCAGGGAGTAATCAGAAGGCAAGGAAATAAAGGAAAGCCCAGAGGCAGCCCAGGTGGCTGGAGAGGGCCTCGTCTTAAATATGCCACAGGAGCGGAGCAGAGGCTAGAAGGGCAATCCCGGTGTTTTCTAACCTCTTCTCATACCTAAAATCTTATTGGACAATACAAAAAGTAGCTTAAGGAAAGAAATAAACAGTCTTGACTGATGCTTTGATGGGTAGTGGAATAGGTCAGACAAATATATCCATGCAGTAGATGAAACCTGTTGGCCCACATTAAACAAACAGAAATCATGAAAGAGAAACTGTGCAGGTGACTGTGCCAGGGTGTCCAGATTAAATGCTTGTTTCTGGGTGTATCTGAAGATGCTCTGGAAAGAGATGAGCACTTGAACTGCTGGGCTGAGCAAAGATGTGCCCTCACCAATGCAAACCTGTTGAGAGGCTGAAGAAAATAAAAGGTGGAAGAAGAATTCATCCTGTTTCTTTGTGCTTACTGGCTTCCGTGGGAACATCAGTTTCTCCTGCTCTTGAACTAGGTCTCATACCAATGGGTCCTCAGGTTCTCAAACCTTGTGCTTAGACTGAACTACATACCACCAGCTAGCTCTTCTGGGTCTCCAGTTGGCAGAATACAGTCTTAGAGACATCTCTACCTACATACTGCATGGCTCAATCTTACAGAATAAATCTTTATGTTCCTCTATCTCCTATTGGTTCTCTTGCTCTAGAGAATACATATATAGGAACACATACCAAAAACTGAAAAGCTCAGAAATTAGACAGATAAGACACAACCTGAAAAAACTCAGGCATGGTAAAGAAATGAAGTCTGGAAAGTTTTTAGACATAAAGACTAACTTAGAGGAATGAGAGGAAATGACAGCATGGGAACCCACAAAGTTCGTGAAGAAGGCAGATGGGGTGAGGAACAGACATGAAGAACAAACAGAGATGATGACAGGTATAATGGCTATAACACACGTGCCTATCACCTAAAGTCAAAGACACAGAAGAATACTAAAACCGTTATTGAGATAAATTGGTCTAACTGCCCATGTTCTTGGTTACCCACCAGAACTTGATGGTAAGAAAGACCCTATTGCTAAAGACACTACATGAAGGAAATCAGCCTGACAAACAAACAATATGACCATCTGTCTACCCTGCTTCCCAGGCCAGGAAGAAGTTACATCTATTTCAGAACATATTAACCCCTAGCCCAGGTGTCTGGTTCCCAATCAGTCCCCTCCAGAAGATATAACCCCCCCTTGTGAAAGACATCTGGTTCCTCTGTCAGAACTCCTCATCTCCCCTCCCCAATTCTGGGAAGATGCAGGAAAAGCCCAAGGACCCCCTTCTAGCCCCCAATAAATTTCAGACTTCCCCCAAACCCAATGCACAACATCTCCATTCCCGAGGGAGGGTTGATTGCCCTTCGTAACTAATAAAGCTATTTGCATCTGTTGAAGTTGGTTTCTACTTCTTTATGTTGCCTTTTCATGTTGAATTCTAACACTATATACATGAGCTATAGAACAAGGAGAAATCAAGCTGGTGCTGACTTCAGAATCTCAACTGGCTAGCACTCATAATGCTATGCAAGGTGCTATGCAAGCTACTGGAAGGAAAAAAATATCATCCTCCAGCTGTGAATCCTGTGAACTACAGTAACAATTGGCCTGGCAAGATATGCAATAGTGGACAAATATTATGGGAATAGCCAACCACTCTTTACTTGGATTTAAGGTCTGCATCCTAGGATGGAACCCATACCTGACATTGCTATCAGGCTAAACTAGTCACAGGACATAGGAATCAAATACTAGTTTTTTACTAAACAGTTATCATATTAAACCGACTCTTAATGACCTACTGTTACACCCATAGATTAATGCATCTCACAACTCTTACCAGAGAAGTTTCCTTATGAAACAACTGGTGCTTAACACAGAAACACACAACTGGTCAATGTGCACAGAACAAGAGGCTGAAGACTGCTTATTCATAAATAGAGGAAACCTGTATCAAATTTCTACCCCCATCTCCCCAAGACTCAGGGATCATTGCAGAAGAGGGGGCAGAAAGATTGTAAGAGCAAGAGGTGGTCGATGACCACAACAAGCAAACAGTTTTCCAGACAACTCGTCAGGTAGTCATATGAACTCACAGCAATGGTGACAGCATGTATAAGTTCCATGGAAGCTCAAACCAGAAAAAAATCCCAGCATAGATATAAGAAAGTGGGTAAGAAGGTCCAATCACACCTAAGGAAACTGCATCAACAGATGGCTGCTGGGAGAGGCAGAGATAGATTCTTTCAAGGATGGGACTCTTGGGAGGTTAACCAGGCTCCAGTGGATGGTCCCACACTGAAGGACATTTCAGGACACAAATCAGAATCTAGAGGCCTTATTTTATACATATACATACATACACACACACACACAAACACACACACACACACACACATATACAGAGTACATTAAATTACATGGGGGGGCAATAACAGAAGTGTGGATAGGGGAGGGGATCTAAATACCTTCAAATTATATTGTATGAAAACTGCAAAAATTCAATTAAAATGCAAACAAAACAGAACAACAACAAAAAACGCTGACCTAAACTAGAGCATTTGACCAAATGCACCCTGAGAAGTCAAAAGATGGCTGATCCTGAGAGATACACCAGCAGTAAAACACAGCAACATCCTTTGAGCATCCAGGCAAAGGGACCAAATAACATGTAAGGTAAAGAAATGAGATTTAGAGAGCAACATGTTATCCCAGAAGACAACGGATAACAAGGTTAGGGCGCCTGTTGGAAAGAAGTTGGAGGGACATGCTGACTGACTTTGAGCAAAAACATTTCGAATATGTCAGAAATCAGGGAATACTTTTCTCACAAATGCTTCCTAAGATAAAGCTCTGTGGA